CACGGGGCGCACCGAGGGCGAGCGCAGGCCTCCGTTTGCACAGCGCGCAGCTCGGGTCCCCTGAGGCTGTGCTCAGGAGCTCAGAGGGGAGGTCTCGGCGGGGGTCGGGATGTCAGGAGGCGTCACCAAGATGCCGCGGAGCTGAACCCTGTGGTGTGAGCGGGAATTCCTCAGGTGGAGGAGGGCAGGACGGCATTCCAGGCCGAGCCTCCGGTGTGCGCCGCAGGCCTGGGGCAGCCCGGCGCGGCCTGCGTACCTGACTGGCGAGGAGCAGAGGCTGCGTTGACTAACCTGGGGCCGAGCCGCATGCACCTAAGCCGCCTGAGTTCCCGGCCCCGAGAGGTCCCTACCCCTGCCCCCCAGGAGGACACAGGCCTGGGACTGGCTGCCTGCCCGGCCTAGAATGAAGGGCAGGGGCTGGAGACCCCTGGCTTGGGGAGCGCAGCCCGGCTCTGAGGGAGGATGACGAAGAGCTGGTGGCAGAGCCTGAGCTGGCCCGAGGTTCTAGGCTCCACGCGGCGGGCTCAGAGTCCAGCAGAGGAGGGTTGGGATTGGTGAGGTGGGTTCCCAGGAGGGGAAGGTACTGCCCTGCGGGGGACGCTGCGGGTGTCTGGGTCCCCTTACCCCACATGACTGTTAGGTTCTGTGTCCACCCTCACAAGGAAAAGGCCAACTGCTCCCATCTTCAGGCAAAGCCCAAGGGGGTCCGGGGCCCATGGGACCTAGTGAGCTGGGGGGAGGGCTGGCCGGGTCTGCTGCCCGCCTGGCTTGTGGCTTCCAGGACTAGATGTACTCATCAGGAAAATGGGCGCTAAAAGCCCCTCAGTGACTGGCTGTTTGCTGACCCTACCCAGCCCATGCACAGCTCAACCCTGCAGCTCCCAGAGGCCAGGGTGTCCCTGGACTGACCTCAGGGCCTTGGAAGGGCTCTGCTCCCAGGGAGCCCTCATGCTCACCCCTCTGTGCCCACTTGGTGGCTCAGCACTTGTCCTCGGCCACCCTTGTTTCCTGCTCTGGCCAAGTCCATGTCCCCAGACCATCTTGGGGCCCAGCCTCACTAACCTCCAAGTGCACTGTCCAGCCCCCTCCAGAGCACAGCCCCAGGCCACTGCCAGTCAGGCCCCTCCCAGGACACCGCTCCCCAGGGCACAGCAGCACACTGACCCTGCTCTTTTTTTTTTTTTTTTTTTTTTTGAGAGGGAGTCTCGCTCTGTCATCCGCACTGGAGTGCAGTGGCACAATCTCAGCTTGAACAATCTCCGCCTCCCTGATTGAAGTGATTCTCTTGTCTCAGCCTTCCGAGTAGCTAGGATTACAGGTGTGCACCACTACACTCAGCTAATTTTTGTATCATTAGTAGAGACGGGGCTTCGCCATGTTGGCCAGGCTGGTCTTGAACTCCTGACCTCAACCGATCCACCTGCCTTGGCCTCCCAAAATGCTGGGATTGCAGGTGTGAGCCACCGGGCCCAGCCTTAGCTCTCTTAACCAGCTAAGTCATCAGGTTCTGAAAGCACCAGGATGCGTGTGGCCATCTCCTCACAGTCTTGCCCCTCCCCCTGGGGGACTGAATGGGACTGTGGGAAGGAGCTCATGCATGGGGCAGGTCTCCCTCAGGGAACAGCTGCTGAGCGGGGCCCCTTCTGTAGGTAGAAGGGCTCAGTGGAGCAGTCGGCTCCTTTCCCACTACCACCAAGAAGGACTGGCTCCCTCTGCACCCACGGCCCCTGGTCTCTGGGAGGGGAGCATCCATGCATCTGTGGACACATAGCTTTCTGCTTTCTTCCCCACCAGGATCCTCTCCTTGGCAGAAATGCCCAGTAGGGGTCTGTTTCCCGTGTGTCCCTACCCCAGTCTCTCTCCCATTTGTCCCTGAAAGGCTGATCCTGCAGACCCTATCTCTCAGGGTCCCTTAGTCTCCAGCTTCTGGGTGGGTTTGGCCAGTGGGCAGTGCTGGCAGGAGGAGGGACTGGGGACCCAGCACTTTGAAGACCCACTCCCTCCCTTCATCCCCGCAGCCCTGACCCCGGCCCACCACCTCTCCCTCCAGTTGCAGCCTGGGACTCCCTCGTTCAGTGGCATCCTGCATTTCTAGGTTGCCCTCACAAATTACTGCACACTAGTTGACTTAAATTTACTTTCTCACAGTCTGGAAGACCAGATGTCTGGAATCAAGGTGTAGGCAGGGCTGCACTGCCTCCAAAGGCTCCAGGGAGGACCTTCCTGCCTTTTGCAGCTCCTGGGGGCTCCAGGTGTCCCTTGGCTCATGGCCGCATTGCTCCAGCCTCTGCTTCCCACTCTGACATCATCTCTTCCATCTCTTATAGGGATACTTGTCGTTGGATGTAGGGCCCGCTTGGATAATCCAAGATGATCCCCCCATCTCAAGATTCTCACCTTAATTACACTTGCAAAGATCGTTTTCCAAATACGGTCAGGTTCACAAGCTGCAGGGATGACGACATGACCATGTCTTTTGGGGACTGCCGTTCTGCCCACTATGCACTGCGTGGCAGCTGCCTCCTCTGGCGCCCTCCACATTCTGAATGGCTTCTCCAGTGGCACTGTCTGGGAGCAGTTAGGTCGAAGGGCAGGAGCATTTCCATGACTCCGCTAATTTTGCCAAATTGCTTTCACGGGGTCCTAGTGCCACCATGGCCACCAGCAAGTTGCTGGCCACTCTGCCCCAGGGCTGCCAGGGCCAAGGGAGGTCTTGCCTGAAAGCTCAGTTTAGTATTGTCTGAATAATTGGATTATTCAAATGAGTTGCTTCCAAGCCCACAGGTGCAGGTAGCATTCCCCCGACACTGAGGTGAGGCCAAGCCGGCTGGTCGACTCCTGAATCTCGGTGACTCTCTGCACATTAGCCGTCAGTAGCCACGATTTCATCACAGCGCCCTTGCCCA